AATCTTTGTACCGAATATTGTCGAAAAATTAAATTTCAAAAATGAATCATCCTAGTTTAATTCATATAACATGGTCACCCTAAATAGCGAATTCGTAAGGAATATTCAGAAGTGATTTGTTTTTCAGATACCGAACATATACAATGTTGATCTGTGCATATGTATTTAGTAGACCGTTTATACTAAATGTTAGTGTCTCTGGTATTTTATTCCGTTTTGATCTCAGGTAGGTACAGTCAATTATTTATTATGCAGACGTCACGATTGAGGAGCCAAATGAAATGCATTTATTTATTAAATTCGCTCAGTCTACTACTTTGTCCATATACTACAAATTCGAACACACTTACTACTAAATGTCTTTAGAGTGGAATATAAATTGACCAATAACTTTCATGGCAATTCATGCTCTTGTGTATAGATCGAGGAGCCACATTAAAAGTATTGTATATTCTTGAATATAAACAATACTGGGCTCAAATTTTTAGTAGACACTATACACAATTGCTACTAAATGATACAAAATTTTCAAAAATATACATGAAATACTTTCCGTGTTTCAGGTGGCTCCTCAATTCAGATGTTTGGATTGAGGAGCCACATTCACAGTTACATAACTTTAGACATATTATACTACAAATTTCAGAATTCGGTCTACAAAATTATTTACTTCCCTACTAAATAAGGGGGCGAGCTTCCTTTTTAAATCGAAAGTGGCTCCTCAATCCATACGAACATGCTCTAATTGGTTGGTTTATTGGCGCCCGCCAATCAGAGTGCCGAACGCGTACTCGTTTCGAATATTTTAAACGTAAATCAAACTTGTACTAAGGCCTCTGAGCAGAATGCACTTAAATATGAAAAAGCATACTGTTATGACGGCAGAGTAGATATATTTTTTCATCACTTCTTCTCTTTTCGCGGCTGTCGTACCTGGTATCCGACTATTTAGAAACCGGAGCGTATAAAAAGGTATAAAAACACATAAGTGTAAATCTTCCAATATAACATTTCATAACATAAACATAACATCAAGCCCAGAACAGTATTAGCCCTACGGCAAACTAGGCAAGTGCCTAAATGCACAGTCTCCAAGCGATCACCGGTGACCGCTCTCCACTTACTCCATTATAGACCTTATTTCCTATGTATAGAGACTACTTTTGTATGAACAAATGTTGTGGGTTTTCCATAATTTGGGATTAAGAAACTAGATTGCTAGGTTACTGAGGGGCACTGCGAGACGCGCGTGCTAACAGCCAAAAGAGCGGCGGCAGCGCCAAAAAAAAATTATGGGCGCCTATGTCGTACTTAGAGCGGGCTCTAGGTTTAATTCGTTTCTGATCAAGGCCAATTCCTAACAGGATGAGGCCTACCGTATTCGTATTCATGATCACCAAACGGCGCTAGTTTGAGCCTCTTATTCTTCGTTCAATCGGGATTTAGCTAATGTCCCATTGGACGTTAAATATTCGACAGCTACTGTGATTGGAGAATATCTCTTCCTACATTTGCGCCATCTACTGACCAAAAAATATACGGTAGCTCCCATTGGCTCGCACATTTTAAATGTAACATTAACCACTCGCCACTTTTGTTATAGGTTCCGTGTAATATGGGACGAGCATATTGAAATGCACCAGCCATTTCAGATTCTGTGCTTTTAATGAGAATTTTCAAATAACTCAATAATAATTAATTTCCCCGACCCCTAGGAATTCACATCGATACTCCTTTAACGATGCGGTATTTTTTTAAACAATATTAGGCTAGGTTGGGCAAATAATTATTATAGTTGTCGATTCTATTTCCATTACAATTCTAAACATACATACATACATAACTTCACGCCTGTCTCCCATGGGGATAGGCAGAGACTAAGGAACGCCAATTACTACGATTCTTACATACCTCTTTCGCTTCAATAACAGTCATCAATCTATTCATGCATGCTCGTCGATTAAGGGTACTTTTAATTTGGCCCTTCTTTAATATATCGCCAATCTGGTCACTATATGTCCGTCTAGGGCGCCCTCTACCGACGGCCCCATTCATATTCGCTCTGTATACTTCTTTCGTTACTCTACTTTCATCCATCCTTTCTACATGTCCAAACCAGCGTAACATCCCCTTTTCAATCCTTGTCACTACATCATCTTTCAATCCACAACTAAACACACCTAAAAGACAATTCTAAACAATATATATATAATTACAATTTTCAAAAACTACTTCACTGTAGCTCTTGTATATTATTATTTCAAAAATTATCAAAACAGTTTATTATCAGAATAGTATTTTCTAAAACAACAAAAATACTTCATCATACATATTTTTTACCCATCTTCATGATTTTTTAACTAAAGAATTCATATGTTTTTATAACAACTATCGTGAGATATACTAAATTAACTAAAAATCGCGAGTTATTCACGTGAATATACTGAGAAAAGCTACTAGTTTCGTGAGTAACCCGCGATTTTTGGTAAAATAATTCATAGTAACATTTTGCATATTTATAAACAATATCTTGTAAACACGGTGTGTCATAACACATAATTATATATAAAAAAAAACACATTCTCTCCTTAATATCATTTGATTAACAAATTAATAATACACAAGCCCTTAAACAACAGATGTGCCATCTAGTTAAGCGCTAAAAATCGCAGTTTTATTGCATTTTAGGAGTAATTTCCTAATATTTTTAAGCTTCTGTTATTTTCAAACAGGACAACGAATAACTTCTATTGATATAAATATTCCAATTAACTGACTTAAAAAAAGGGGTTTGAAGGCGGTTTCTTTAAACATAGTTTATAAAAGAATTATAGTTAAGTGAAAACGGTCATTATAAAGGTGATATCAGAAGGTTCATTTTTGCCTTTCATTCGGCATCTTTCACTCAAAATGTATCATTCTGAGGCCTTAGTACGAGTTTATTTTACGTTTAAAGTAATCGTAACGGGAACAGCCGCTATAATACTCTCATCCTTATTGTTTAACTTGAATTACTTACTCCCGACTTTTTAATTTAATTTTTTTTTACATGTTAATTGTGTTTCACATTTATATAGTGCACAAAAAGAATATATAATATGCAGTCCATGTAACAACCATCCCAGGTAAAGAGTAGTTCTGTAATTGGAATTTGTCCTATGTTTGTATAGTTTGTAGCTTCAAGTTTGCCCCATTGTGTTTGCTAAGTAGATTTATGGTAATCCGTGGCAACGCTGTGAGGAGTATATTTGTTAAATCTATTATTTTACTCACCCGTGTGTTAATATACTGCTGTTTGTTGTCCTTGATAAATAAAATAATAATAAAAAAAAATAAGTAACGAGTACGCGTTTGGCGCTCTGATTGGTTGCTTCATTGGCGCCGGCCAACCAGAGTGCCGAATGCGTACTCGTTTCGAATACTTTAAACGTAATTTAACTCGTCGAGTACCGGTTTCGTAGACACAATTATAGAACAATAGGTTGCGGTCACCGGTGACCGCTTGGTGTTTGACAGTTTAAACTCGTACTAAGGTCTCTGAACTCAGAATTAAACAAGAGTACAGAATGAATTCATTAGTAAACCGATCCAACGATGTTGGATGTTGACATTCCGCATCATTCACTCCCACTCCGAATGAACAAAAAATAAACGTTCATTCAGATTTGATGATCACAAAACTGATTCTGACACGACATCACTTCATGACATATTTAAAAAAAACAAAGAATATTCATTTCTTTGTCATTCCACTAAAGTCTGAACATTGAATAAAAGATAAATGAAATGAGGTGAATATTCACTCGAGTGAACCGTCTGATATGAGCAACATAAGACCCGCTCATATTTACCTAACTACGCAAAGGGAGTTTAGCTACTTTAATTCTTAATGTCATATAATCATAGTCTCATATACAAAAAGTATGAGTATTAATAAATTATTTACAACTTATAATCTAAAACTTGCGCGCGTAGAAGTTATCTAATGTCATATTGTCGTCCGAATCTTCGTGCACATAATCATCCTTTGACAGTTCATCCGTTTTCTTTTTTCTGTTCCTGAAAATAAATAAAACAATATTAAGTTTACAAGTTAATAAATTTATGTTAAATTTAAGTTTAGTCTCAGTAGCACGGAGATTGGAATAGGTATGATGGCAGGGTACGAAAATTAAAAATCCAATTAGTCCGTCAGATAGGTAATGAAATAATATTAGACACGTATTTTTTTATTTTCATGTATAATAAAATGATACTTAAGATAAAACGAATCAAAGTTTAGGAGTAGAGGCTAATACGTCATATCTACGTATAAAATGTACATAGAAGTGATGTCACGCGACATTTCAAATCAATATATCGTCGAAAGTATTCGTTTCTGTAAAAAAAATATTTAAAATAATCTACCAGACGGACACTAACATAGAAATTAGTCATCTACCGTATTGTGCCCGGTATATGGCAATAGGCTCACCCCCTATTACACGGGACTCAACATAAATAGTGAAAAGTGGGTACATTGTATCGCACATCTGCCAACCCCTTCGGGGATAAAAGGACTGATTTCATTTATTACATTTATTTATAGAAAAGTTATGACCGTGTTCTGTAGTGGTGAAAGTATACATATGTGACACCAAAGAGCGAGGCCACATTTGACCGTTGCGTCGTCGCGCAGTCATTTTCTATGCATTTTTATGACAATCCACGTTACACTATTGCAACGACGCGATGCAACGCACCGCACCGGACCAATGGGGCCTTGATAGACTACGGGCGCTTTCTGACATATCTACCTGTGTGATAAGGTAAGGGCTTCGGTCGAGCTCAAAAGTATTCAGACATCCCCAACTTATTAAATCGTTAAATTATCTAATTTAATATTAATCAATTACGAAAATAATACTTTCCAAGATGAATTCCCGTGAAGAGACAATTTAAGAACAAAATAATAAGGTAAGGGCTTCGGTCGAGCTCAAAAGTATTCAGACATCCCCAACTTATTAAATCGTTAAATTATCTAATTTAATATTAATCAATTACGAAAATAATACTTTCCAAGATGAATTCGCAGGGCGTGAAGAGATAATTTAAGAACAAAATATATTTTCATCTCTTTCTCTGAAATCTTATACGATATATCAGGATTTTTGTAGAACTGGCTATTTCCTTACCTCTTCGGATACGGTTCTTTCAAATGAAAGGTCCTGTAATGAAGCTTCATACTGCTGACTTGTTTGAACCGCTTATCGCATAGAGTGCAAGCTACCGGCTTCTCGCTCGTGTGCGTCTGAAACATTCCGTTCAAAAGTGACCGTTACAGAGATAAGGAAGCGTGTGCTTGTATTCATCATAGGAAAGGTCACTTTAACTCGTTGAGTACCGCCATTATAGACACAATTAAAGAACAATAGGTTGCGGTCACCGGTGTTCTCGCGGTGTTTGACAGTTTAAACCAAAGTAAACAATGATGTTTGTGGAATTCCTTTACACTGTATTTATCATTAATTAATTAATTTATTTTCGAGAATTTTATAAATAATGTAGTGTTTGTAGGTAGCTAATAAACCAAGGAAGTTTTTCTCATAGTTTTTATGCTTAGTGTAATATAATTTTATTTTAAATAAATCCAATTTTCTTTTGACCAAATACTCAAATGACTCGAAACAAAATTCGTCACTAATTGACTTGCTATTTTGAAACGAATGATATTTCTGCAAGTATTAATATTAATAAATGTTTATTGATGTATTGACAACAAAATAAAACTAAAATCACTTAAATCAATCAAAATCCGAAAATGTTGAATATCTCAGAAACTAGCCACTTTCGGAGTAGGGATTTCAGGATTATTTTTTTTATATTACTTGGTTTTATGGTAGTTAATAGGAAATTATTTTTATTTTCACCTCCAGAGAGCAATACGTCGAGTCATCCTATAGAACATGTAACGTAATTAACGTACACCCTCAAACACCCCAATTAGAATATTATGTTATAACCATAATACATACACTAAATTTTTAATTTAACATGTATATGCATCCTTACTGGTCTTGTCATAAGGTTTATTTTTCTTTATTTTGTATTGAATGATAGAATTTGTATGAATACAAATAAAACTGCGATTTTAAAGTCTTATTGCTTTGACTTACGGTCCATTTCGATTTGTTTTAACAATACATGGTTAATTTGGCAATAATTTATGAGTTTTAATTATTTTTGGGATAAAAAATTACTTATACTAAAAATTATATAAATCGATTCAGTTAACGATTCTGAACAAACTGTTTTCAGGATGTGCGTTATTTAAGTTACATGTTGTATATTGATAACCTAAAAAACACTTAAAATTAGAGACGTCTGAGAACTTTTGTAAAAAGAACTTACGATGTTTCTGTCCTCTGTGATCTATCATTTTATTATATTCGATCTTGTTCTTAAACCCATAATTTTAAATCTCAATATAGGTAGCTTGCTATGAATTGAGGCTACCGTTTTTCCGGTCACTAGATGGCGCAAACGTAGCAAGAGGTTATTTGTCCAATCACAGTAGCTGTCAAATACTGAACGTCCAATGACGTCACACTAGCTATTTCCCTATTGGATGAAAAACGAGTGTCACACTAGGGCTAACTGGCGATCAAATATACAGTAGCCCCCATTAGTGTTATTTTTCTCCATATACAAAACTACTACTATCTGCCTCGCTGGCAGTCGCAAGTGCGACTGTCGGACAAGGGCTCTCGGGTTTGATTCCCGGGTCGGGCACAGAATTACTGGGTTTTTAAAAATCCTCAGTAGCAGCACAGAGTCTGGAAATGTGCCCGGTATATGGCAATAGGCTCACCCCTTATTACATGGAACTCATATAATAAATAGTGAAAAGTGGGTGCTACATTGTACAGTATTGCATTAAGTGCCGTAATGTGTACCTCTGCCTACCTCTTCGGGGTTAAAAAGCGTTATGTCATGTATGTACAAAACTACTACGCTTACGGAAAATTCAAGAAGACTCTTCGAGTTGGTTAACTAACAACAAAATTGCATTCGCATGTATAATAATAATTACACAATAGTTCTACACTAACCGGGGACTGATTAAAGATGTCTAAGGGGCCTCTGCGCAGTTGGTTTCAGCCCCTCATACACCTCCCAATTAACCGGGACTCTGTGGTCCCGTGAATGGCAAAGACATACATAATAATAATAATTATGAATAGTTTAACTCACCAATTGATGAGTAGTCATTCCTCCCTTACTACTGAACTGCCTCCCACAAGTGTTGCAGGTGTAGAGCTTCTCTCGAGTATGAGTGTTTAGATGGCTTGAAACACTGCCGGGCTGGAATGAAACAATCTTAAATTTTAAGAATCTTAGCTTTTTAGCTGAAATTATGACTGCACGGTTGGTGCGGTGGCTGGGCAACCGGCTGTCGTGCAACGTGTCGCGGGTTCGATTCCCGCACGGAACAACACTTTGTGCGATCCACAAATTGTTGTTTCGGGTCTGGGTGTCATGTGTATGCGAACTTGTATGTTTGTAAACGCACCCACGACACAGGAGATAATCCTAGTGTGGTGCAAGGTTTAAAAAAACAAAAAAAAAATCTATAGATATAATATATAGAAATGAATCCCTTTTCCCTTGGTCACGGCATCACGCGTGAATGGCTGGACCGATTTCACTAATTCTTTTTTTGTCGTATTATTAGGAGAAGGTTCTTAAGACAGAAATACTGAAAATTCTACGGGAACGGGAGAAAACGAGATTGCGCGTACGAAGTCGCGGGCAGAAGCTAATAATAAATAATTGTACATCTTTGAAATCAATCAAGTCTTTGGAAGAAATTCTATAGCAGTTATGTCAAAATTTTTAATTCAGATCGGTCTTCGGCAGCAACATTACGGGTATTTGATTTGAATTTTATCAGTTAGTCGAGTTTTAAATATAATTTGCAGATACATGCGCGAACTGAAGACAAAATTTCACAGTTGACCCATATACAATGTAGTGTTTATAATTGTGCCTGATGTATGGGGTACAGCCTATAAATGCCCACTGCTGAGCAAAGCCTCTTCTCACACGGAGAAGGTTTGAGCACTAATCACCACGCTTGCTCAATACGGGTTTGCGATTACAAACTTATAATTAGAAAGCCCAGGTTTCCTCACGATGTTTTCCTTCATCGTCAGTGGTGTCTAGATATTCGTAGAAAGTACATAAAACTCGAAAAAGGTCACATTGGTACTTGCCGTTGTTGGTAGGTTTCGAACTTGCAACGTCATGCATGAGAAGCGGGCGTTTTAAACCACGACATTTTGTATAGGGTACAATCACTTGACATTACACGGGACCCGCAACAAAACTATTGAAAAATGTGCACATTGCACATTTTTCAATAGTGTAATAGTTTATAAAGACGTGACGTTAAGCTAAGACAAATTTGCGAAACATAGTTATCCTTTACCTAACCTTCTAGAAAATAAAATAAACATTTTATAATACACAAGAAATTAGTAAAATATTAGCCACATACCGCTAGTGACATCCCGCAGATCTCACAGATATGTCTCTCGTTGGGCGCGAAGAATGAAGTTCTGGGATGTTCCGCTAGATGGTGCTTCCTACACGCTGCCTGCGTCGCGAAGTGTTTGCCGCACTGATGGAGAACAAATACGTTTTTTTTAAGTGTATATTATTTGCAGTTTTTGTATAGTTTTCATGAATAATACAATAGTTTTTGTAAGGACAATAATGAATTTATAATCCTGATTCCATTGACGTCCAGTTATAAGTAATTGCTGTCATAATAGGAGGCTTTAAAATATAAAAATCGCTAGATTTTTATAATTTTGAATAAGCAAGAAAAAATAAAAAACTTAGCTGTTAACGCACTATAAAACCAATATAATGTTTGTATGGCGACGTACGTTGAAGATTCAATTAGAGTACACGAATAAACATGGATAGGAAATACCAACGTACAACAGGCATTGGGCAGTAGCTAGCCAGTTGCGACCTCGTCGGGTCGTTTTTAGTCAGTAAGAGTCTGACACGTCTTCCCGCCTCGCCCAGGCGGGAGAAGTCAGTCAGTGATTCTTCCCCCCCCCTCCCTTGAAAAAAGCCAGGCACGACCTCGCCTGGTCGGAAGATCTTGTTCCAATCTTAGGGATTCCTTAAAACCTTTTCGGGCTACAAAACCTGATATGCCAAAAATACTCACGATATGACAATCAGTAGGTATTCGAGTCAGCCTTTTGAGATTCTGCCGCCGTTTCCTGGGGTTAGAAGTGAGAGGTGCATTTATTTCTAAGTCTCTGTAAAACATAAACATATACATACATCTCATTATAGAGGCCACACGGACGTGGCCCGCGTGTTATTGAACCTAGAACCTAATTTGGATCGAAATAGGATATTTTATAGTATTAAATGTTATAATTGAATTGAATGTTGCGATGCAGATGTATGATTCACCACTGTATAATCAGTTGATGCTTTTATTTCTCTAAAATATTATGCTCATTGTAAATTGAACAAGTTTTCAAATGGGAGGAAATGTCAAAAAATGGACATGTTTGAGTGGCGGCTACTGCTCAACCCACCACCGGTGCCGCAGCCAACGTTAACAAGGCTTCATAATACAACTCTCTCAAGCATTACACAAGTTATCAACTGAGAGGGGGTAGCTAACAAAATTTTATGCCTCGTTTAGAAGCTACTACAATTATTAATACAAAACAAAAAAAAAACATTGAATCATCGTAAATAAAACTAAAGAATACTCACTCAATCCCATCCACATGCATGGCTGAATGTATGAGATGTTCTTCATATGCTTTTCTTGTTTCGAACTTGACGTCACAACGTTGACAGTATTGCTCTTCGCCTTGCGGTAGTTCCTATGTGGTTTAAGAAAGAAAAAATAACTTTATGAACTACTGAATAGGGTGGAAAAATGTATGAATATGAACTCAGTACAGTTCTTAATCTTGTGCTAGTTCTGGTGTAAAGTAGAAGAGTAATATGACTTTACGTAGCATGGAATAAGGTAGAAAATTGTATGAATGTTAAATGTTAAATTAAAATTGAATTGGCAAGTGAAAAAGGACTTAATTTGTTAAAACATACGGTTTTAAATTGAAGGATAATGAACTTTGACATAGTATATATGACTGATGACTGCACGGTTGGCGCGGTAGCTGGACAACCGGCTGCCGCGCACCGTGTCGCAGCTTCGATTCCCGCACGGAAAAACTCTTTGTGTGATCCACAGATTGATGTTTTGGGTCTGGGTGTGATGTGTATGTGAACTTGTAGTATGTTTGTAAATGCACCCACGATACAGGAGAAAACCCAAACTGGGGCAACGCTTAAAAAAAATACTTACAGACTCAGCATTAACATGTTTAATCTTCTTATGAATGCCTAACCCCGTGACACTCACGAAGGAGGCGCCGCACAGAGTACACACGTGTTCGCTGCGGTGCGTGCGTAGGTGCGTATAGTACGTTGTTAGATGTCTGGTGAAAAAGATAAGAAAAATATTCATATTATTAAAGATCATGTGTGTACGACGACAGTGCTAGGCCGCGAGCCGCCCGCAACGTGTTCCGAACTTGTCCGAACCATGTATAAAAGGCAAGTTCAGACACAAAAGGAAAGGAATGCGGCGTCGATCCTTTGTTCCGCGCCGCCGCTGTTTGGTTTAAACATGTTTTTGGGCTTGTACGAACATGATTCCGTCGCAGAGCGGCCGAGTCGCGAGCCCATAGCGACAGTATTAATCTTGTCCGCGCACCTCGCATATAAAAGGACGCTTCCTTGCGAGGTGCAATCAGTGTGTCAATGAATCGTCAGAAGTATTGTCAATGTCTCAGAGCGTCAGAACAGTGTATGTAGTTATCATATAAAGTAAAGTCGATCATAGCCAGTCGACCTAATGTTGTGAATCTCCTAGTGTTAACATTCTTGTAAATTAATTGTAATAAAAGTATATCAGTGTACGACAGTTATCCAGTTCATTCCTACATTCCATTTGCTCTCCAAACCACCTTGCTCATCGAGGAATGATCCGAGCCTGATTCCTCCGAACCCGCACATCATGTTTATATTACAATTTTCATCAATTTTCATTCACACTGAATTAATTATTATGTTTTTTTGAGGAATTCGACTATTTTCAAACCATGTTAGAGGCTCATACACATATCGGTAACAGCGCGACAGTCGCCGCGTCGCAGGTCGCGGAATGCTGCTCATGAATATGAGCCTACAGCATGGCTTGAAACTAGTCAAGTTGGTTGTCAAACAGTTACGTGAGTAAGCCGAAAACATAATGATTAACTTTTCAAGTTCATTCAGTGATGACAGTTCCTGTCCATTAAAGGTCATGATAATTGTCTTCTGTAAACTTAAAATTAAGTTGTATGTAACGTTTTATTTTCTACAATAAAGTGTTAAATAAACAAAACGTTAATGCATTTTGCTCTTCATAACAAGTGCTAAGTATAGAGTTTTAAACTCACTTGAACTCTTCCCCGCAGTGATCGCATTTCCTTGTAACACCATTGTGATATTCTTCATGGAATAGAGCTGTAGTTCTGAAAAGAAAAATTAACATTATATATATCTTTGAGTTGGAATCAATCATTAAAATCACAATATATATTCGTAGGTAAATATACAATAAATAAACAATAAAGTTTTTGACAGCACGGTTGGTCTGATAACTGGAGCAAGCCTTTGTGTGATCCACAAAATGTTTTTCCTGATCTTTTTTTTTGAGGGGCTAAAATCATTGAATGACTTCTCCCGCCTCGGGTGAGTCGAGAGAGAGTGTCAGACTCTTACTGACTAAAAACCACCCCGTTCCTTCTCCTGCACGTCGAGCCGGAGCCCCGGCAACTTGTTAAGCCATCCGCGGCTCTTTGTTCCGGGTCTGGGATCCACACAAGGATTTTTTCCTGTGTCGTAGGTGCGTTTACAAACATACAATATCACATACACATGATGCCCAAACCCGGAACAACAATCTGTGGATTACACAAAGAATTGTTCCGTGCAGGAATCAAACCCACGACACGTTGCGCGTCAGCCAGTTGCCCAGCCACCGCACCAACCGTGCAGTCATATTACATGTAATATTACATTATATATATACCCATCAGTGAAGTACATCAAATCAAATCACTGTAATACCTAGTACCCACAACATTTTCCACATATTACCTTTTGAGATATAAGCTGTGATGTGGTCCATACATACATACATAACTTCACGCCTGTCTCCCATGGGGGTAGGCAGAGACTGGAACGCCAATTACTACGATTCCTACATACCTCTTTCGCTTCATCAAAATGTGGTCTAATAAGAGATAGTTACTATTTATATTTGAACAAACATGCAATAATATAAAAAAAAAACATACATAGATACTCACTCTAAAGGACAGACGAGATCACATCGCAGACATTTGTATTTAGTATAGTGTTGCCTCATGTGTTTGTTTAGGAAACACTTCCATTTGAACCGCATGTGGCAGAAACGACACTCTATTGGGCCGTTTGACTGAAAATAATAACATCTGATCATGAGTATGTTTTGCCCAGTGCCAAGCAATAGGGTAGATGGCTAATTTGAATTTTAATGTCCGTCTGGTAGATTGTTTTAAATCATTAGACATGTATTTTTTATTTTCTTACAGAAACGAATACTTTCGACGATGTATTGATTTGAAATGTCGCGTGACGTCACTTCTATGTACATTTTATATAATATCGCGTGGTCGGAGCATGGAACAGGCTGCCAGAATATGTAATCGCTGCACAGAATGTTAACCAGTTCAAAAACAGACTTGACAGATACACAACATAGAATTAACCACTGATAGAAGAATACGATACAGGCATTTATCAGTTGTTTCAACTGCCTGTCTGAATTAAATAAATAATAATAATAATAATTTTATAAGTAGAAATGACGTTTTAGCCCCCACTCCTAAACTTTGATTCGATCTATCAAAGTATTTTTTTATTTTACGACAAAATAAAAAAATACGTGTCTAATATTTTTTTCATTATCTAACGCACGGACTAATTGTATTTTTAATTTTCATACCCTGTCATCATTCCAATTACTATCGATTCAAGTGTCCAGGGGGTTTATTAATTTTTTTTTTTGATGATACCTGACGAACTGGGTCAGTACCCAAACTAGTCAAATTCAATACTTTTTTCGAACTGTCAGAAACGATAGTTATCTATAAATTTTGTATGAGATTGTGTAACGTCACGTTTTTTAGCGTCAAACGGTAGACTTATTTCTTAACAATTTGCTGGCAAAATATTATAATTAAGTTGGTCATAAAATCAATTAATGATAGTGTGATTATTTTTTAATTAATATTTTATTATCAACTAGCGACCCGCCCCGGCTTCGCACGGGTGCAATATGCATGTATTATACATACAAACCTTCTTTAAAAATCACTCTATCTATTAAAAAAAACCGCATCAAAATCCGTTGCGTAGTTTTAAAGATCTAAGCATACATACGGACATACAGCGAAAGCGACTTTGTTTTATACTATGTATTGATATACTAAAATTGAAAACACGTTTTGTCTCGTGTAGATCTACGTTGTACGTTCAGCATACGTTTTTTTTTTTTTTGAGGGGTATATCATCCAATGTCTTCTCCCGCCCAGGTGAGGCGAGAGGGAGTGTCAGACTCTTACTGACTAAAAACCATCTCGTTCCTACTCCTGCACTTCGAGCCGGAGCCCCGGTAACCCGTTAAGTCTTCCGCGGCTCCGTATCGGCATCAGCCCTGTTGGGCCCCATCTGTGGTGGTACGTTCAGCATACTACGAATTAAATGACTCTAAGTACGGCGCGACGGTCGGATACGTACAGTGGCCAGCAGATCAACCTGTCAAATTTATTCATAGCATTTTCGACTTTAAATCAATACAAATAAAGATGAAGATGTAATAGAGAAATTTGACAGAAAGGGATTGTTTTTTAAGGGGGGAACATCATCGAATGACTGCTCCCGCCTGGGTGAGGCGGGAGGGAGTGTCAGACTCTTACTGACTAAAAACCACCCCGTTCCTTCTCCTGTCGGACGGGGTCGGACGGGGAGCCACCCATGCTCGCCGTCCGCAGGCCCGCGCTTACGGTGGCCGGAGATCGTCCCGCGATGACAGAAAGGGATAGGTTCATGTGCTGGCCACCGTAGAAGGCACAAAACAAAACGAGCTAAAGGCAGAAACAGATAATAGTGCGCGCGCGCGGAGTAATGTACTGGTTGTTACCAGTACATTACTCCTCAATTACATGGGGGCTCATAACATAATTGCAGAGGGATTATATTGCATGATTATGTTCACCTCTGCATAGTCCTTCAAACAATACTTTTATTTCTATGTAAAATACATTAAAAAATCGTCATTAATACACTTACTTCACTATGTCTTAACTTAGCATGCCTCTTCAACATATCCTCCTTAGAGAATCCTTTCAAACAATCCGTACATTTGTACTGAGCGTTCAAATATCGCTTGTGCTGCCCTCTAGCTTTAAACTCCGCATCAGCCTCCTCTTCCGTCAAATTTATTTTCAACCAGTTATTCGGGTCCATTTCGGCCTTTTTAGTAGTTTTAACTGCAAACTTCTTTTCCTTCGGTATAGTTTCTTTAGCTTTTTTCTTTTTACTATTACCAGTATTTCTTGTTCTTTTCTTTTTCGTTACCTCTGGTTCATAATCTTCTTCGTCTTCAGATATTATTTTTATGTCATCAACAAACACTTTTTCATTGTCACTTGGCATTTCATCATCGGTAAACACCTTTTCTATTTCAAAATTCACATTTTCTGTTGGTTGTATTTTAGTTTCAATTGGCTCTAAATCTTCAAAATCATCTATTTTATCTTTTTCTATCTTTTCCAGTTCAATGAAGTCTTCTTTTTTTTCTTTTATGTCTATTTTCTCTATATCAATTTCGATTAGATGTTCTTTGTTGTCTTCGAATGTATCGTCACCAAAATCTCCATCGTCACTTAGAGATGCCACATCTACTTCAATTGGTTTGGTTTCTTGTAATTTTACTTTGTTTGAAGTTTTTACTACACATGTCCGAACTCTTTTGTTGACAGTTATTATGCTTAGTGGTATTAGAATGTTTTTGCTTTCTCTGTCTATGTTCCGAACTGCTTGCTTCGTTAGCTGAAATAGAAGGCAGTGTTATTGAATAAAAAAGATCAAAATATTCAGTTTTTAACAAATTTTAATTGATAAGTATCATTTTATTCATAGGTCAGTTATGTATTCAAAGTAACTTATTCATAGTAAGATAGAACTGTAGATTAAACTGTCAAACACCGAGCGGTCACCAGTGACCGCAACCTATTGTTCTTTAAATGTGTTTATAATGACGGTACTCAATGAGTTAAGTGAAGCTTTCATATTCAAACTTAAGATGTTGCTTAGACTGAGGTCCCATTTGTCTGTTGGGTCTAATGAAAATATATGTGATAAAAATATAATATGGGTAGTGACAAAGCAACGCAACAGACATATTGGGCCTCGCTCTCAATCAAACAGAGTATTTCAAATAGGTAATTTTACACTATGTATCAAGCCAGTTATTATTCGGCCTTGCTGTCGGACTAACACTCCGCTGATTATGCATAGTTATTCAGATTTTTTTATTATTTATTTTTAAATATTGGTGGATTATACTCACAGGTCCCTTCCATAAAATTTCCCTCAGAGCCTTCTGTCCAATATAACACTTTTCCTTAAACTTATGGAACTTGTGTAGTAGAGCTGCACATTGGTAGCAGAAACACTTAGGTAGACCATGCTTTTCATTTACCTGTAAACCAATTATATTGTAAACTTTCTCAACAATGTTTGAATAAGTTGGTGACACATTTTCATAAAAAAAAATATGTCAAATTATCTGTTAATAAGAAACTGAGTTCAGTGTTTATGGCTGAAAAAAAAAACACAGCAAATCATCAACAAAGACTATCAGTCATGGGAAACAGGAGACCCTAGTGTCTGTAATATTTCTTTATAGAAAAGAGTATGGATATATTGTCACGCATAAAGCCAGTAAACAAGAGTAGAGGTTCTTTAGATATTAATTTTTTTCAAGTTCTATTTGGTTTCTATTTATTTTAGTATTGTGAGCGGCCAGATAGCTTTTAACCTTTTAAAAAAAATAAGTAAGTTTATAGCGGTTTTTGTTATTACAACACAAATACTTTTATCAAGAAGTTTTATTGTTAATCTTACTAGTATGTACACTTTTTACTGTTTTGATTTTCTGGTAGAGATACTTTTTGATAAGACAATGCTACAATTAATGCAGTTCTTTTATTTTTTTAATTAATAAGATTATTTTAAGGGATGTTAATGAATACCATTACTTGTTTATTATGAGAAAAACCTCACATTATCTATTGTAAAAAAAAATATACATATTGGACCAAAATAGGCGGTTAAAAATGAAAAATAATAACATGTTTTTATTGCACTTTACTCTTCCTACATTCTGCTATGACACATTCAATGGCATAATCAACATTAATTATGTTCAAATAAATTAAAAGTAACATTATTCACTATGTTAATTCAATCTATAGACTAAAAAACATACATAATGCACTAACATACAAAAAGCTCGTTTGATTCTAGTTAGCTTCCATTTTTCTGTCTATAATCTGTATTATACCTCGACTCAAAGCCATAAAAACTATTTTAAATGATAGAGGAGTTTGTATACAAGTAAATAGGATAAATAAACACCAAACATTCTTACTTTAGTGGCCATAATCTGTTCATAGTAGGTCCTCAGATCAAACTGGTCGTATTCATACATTTTTACATCAGTTGAAAGACATATTCGACATATTTTTAAATTGGACATCTTTCACAGTTAATATTAAACACAAAAACACATGAATTTCATTAATTACAACTCGAAATTTGGTGTAAATAGAATAATTAGTGCCGCGGTACCAGCACAGCTTGAGTAAAAAATGACAACTGCGGTGTTGCTAGGAAATAATTTACATATCTCCCAAGTTTAATTTTTATGCTTTTTGGAAAATTTCATTTTTTTTTATTTTTAGATTATTACGATTAAACCAGTTTCCAAAAAAAATTATTTCAAATAAAAATAAATGTATACACATTATTTTTATTTGTTTATGTCACCTGACTGATTGTGACACGTTTGGTGAGTAAGAACGACAAACCCCTTGTTTATTTGCACCATCATTTTCAGAGAGCACTCCTACTCGGAAATGAAGGTATGCATACTTAGTAAGCAGTTTTTTCAATCTCAGCAACCACATGACTGTGATGCCTCTGATCTGGTAGTGTTGTATCTTTTTTTTTAATAATATATGGGACTGACGTTTGACCACTATCTCGCCTGATGGTAACCGATGGTGTGGCCTACAATGGAGCACGTCGACCCATAAGCAACCTATTCACTTGGGCCTTGAAGACACGTAGGTTATACCCTTGCAGGTGTACTGATTGTTAGGTAATCACCTGACGAGCCGTAAGCTTTGAAGGTATATTGAAAATAAGTATATCTTAACCGAAAATTTCCATTATTTTTTGTACTGATCCTAATGGAACGTCTATGTGGGTACATTTCATCTACTTTTGACCTATGCTATAAAAGACATTGTTTTATTATTCGCCAACAAAGATACTGGTCTACCACACTGGAGCGATCAACCGTCTGTTTTTATTATATTGGATCTACCTAAAATGGCCTCCCTTAAATTGACCTTGGTCGTACGTTTAGCAAGCTTTGCTACAATTTATAAGGGAGGTTTTATAATGGAGATCTACTTTTTTTTTGCTTAACCTCTTATCTGCCGGTATATGAGGCACAATAGAAAACACATTGTGTCTCGCGTAGATCTACGATCCGGCATACCATCACCATCATCATCATTATCAACAACCTATAAATGCCCACTGCTGAGCAAAGCCTTTTCGCACACGGAGAAGGTTTGAGCACTACTCACCACGCTTGCTCAATGCGGGTTGGCGATTACAAACTTATAATTAGAAATTATAAGCCCAGGTTTCCTCACGATATTTTCGTACGGCATACCACGGGTTAAAAGTATTGCACATTTATTTATTTATTTATTTAAAAAACTTTATGCACACAAACAAGTACATGGGTGGACTTAATGCCGCAGGCATTTTCTACCAGTTTGACCCTTGGGTGATGCAGAGAAAGTAATCAGCGGGTGCAAGAACATGCTTTGAATTTAATTGTTTGAAAGAACACATATATAATTCGACAATATACACAATATATATATACTACAACACAACTATATATATATTGAAGAATACATACTATATAACTATAATATGTATATATATACACACATATATATATATACACACATATATACATACATACATGTATACATAAAATACATAAGGTATAGTCAGTGTGATGAAGCAGCCAACCTCGTCAGGAGAAGCTCACGAACCTTCTGCTTGAAAGTTAAACGACTTTTCACCATTCTGACAAAAAAAATAGCTTGTACGAAAAAGGAAGAATGAAGGAAGTCAGTACGGCGAGTAGGACATTGGAGAAGTCGATTATGAGAAGAGCGAAGATTTTTATTGTGGTTTGCGCATATGTATTGGAAGTAAGGGGATAGATAATTCGGGGAAGAAGGCGAGTCTAAAAAGGAGAATAGAGTGGTTAGCGCCCTTTGCTCCCTGCGTTGGCGTATGGGCAACCACTTTAATTGCAACCGATGTGCAGACACATGATCATATTTACGCAGATTGAACACGAATCGAATGCAGTTATTTAAAAGTCGGTCAAGTTTATTGAGAAGATCTGCATTCAGGTCGAAGTAACACACGTCAGCATAGTCAATAATAGGAAAAACCAAGGCCTGCACCAGCATAGCCTTTGTAGCGGAAGGAAGCAAATTCTTTAATTTATATAGTGCCCCCAGGGATCCGGTGACCCTCTTACATACACTAACGACCTGTGCATGCCACCTTAAGTTAGTATCTATGCACAGCCCCAGATCCTTAACGTCATTACTGAGAGGGATAACGGCATTGTTTAAGATGACCGTTGGTAAATTAGCCTTGTTAATCCCGCTCAGCGCACGTGTGCTACCTATAATTATTGCTTGGCATTTAAGATATAATAATAACATCAACAGCTGCGGGACAATATACTTCTGAGCGATTGACTCCTACCCTCTAGAAAAGAGGGGTTCGTTGTCATAATTTGGCTAGCGGGTTGGAAATCGCAGCTTAAAGATTCATTATCTAGACGGCTTAGTTGCATCACATAAAGTAGTTATAGTATTAGTTAGTGTTAAATTGAGTACCGTAATTATAGACACAATTAACTCGTCGAGTACCGGTTTTGTAGACACAATTATAGAACAATAGGTTGCGGTCACCGGTGTCCTCGCGGTGTTTGACAGTTTAACAGTAACTCTAACGCTGTCTTCAACAGTTACAGCAAAATGTGTTGCAGCAGCGAATTCAGTAGCTTTGTCAAAATTAAAAGTATTGCAAGTCAAATGAGGTGTGATTGGGGAAACCCAAATTGGATGTTGTTCAGACATATGCTGTTCAGAGTTTCAGAGGTTACCTTCAACGCGTTTGACAATTTGACAGATGCATTTTTGACACTAACACTAAAGTGAGTGGTTGCGGTTTTTACAGAGGCCTTAGCACGGGTCTGTTTTACGTTTAAAGTATTCGAAACGAGTACGCGTTCGGCACTCTGATTGGTCGGCACCAATGAAGCAACCAATCAGAGCGCCGAATGCGTACGATTACTGTAAACGTAAAACAAACTGGTACTAAGGCCTCAGTTATAGTTAAAGTTATGACGTCATTTAACAATTTGTCAATGGGTGCAACGTCTTTTTGACCTAACCGATACTTTAACAGAAATTTTGACGTTTGTTATTGTTAAAGTAAGTTGGTGCAACCCAGCCTCTGTTATTACGGCACCCGTAAGAAATAAAGACGATGGCTTATCATTTTATCTACTGCAGACTGCAACATAATCCCGAGCGTACGGCACCTAACCGGTTACCTTGGCTCCGGCTCGACGTGCAAGGGAAGGAACGGGATGGTTTTTAATCAGTAAGAGTCTGACACTCCCTCCCGCCGCACCCAGACGGGAGAAGTCACTCGATGATTTTCCCCCCTTAAAAAAACAACTGCAACATAATAAGTTTGAACAGCATTTTCGGTTAACTTGTGTCTATGTATCTTTTCAAGTATGTTTATAATATTTTTTTTTTAAGATGTTAATAAAAACTACCCTACACAATGTGAAAACATACCCTAACAGCTGCGAAATCAACAAAATTGCCGACTCCATATACTTAGAAGCAAAAAGTGTTGGTCATCACTTAAATTAGGCTCGTCCCGTACCTGTCTGATGTCGGAAACGTCCGACAAATCCGACAAAGGCTATAGTTGAATAATTGAGGAGTGTAATGCCATAATGGTGTAGTTTGAGCAGGTAAAAGGATAAAAGGAAATCTGGGGTGTAAAACATAACTAACTTATGGTGTGACTTAAGTGTTGTGTTCATTTGACTCCCTTGACTGAACTTCAGAACGTTAAAGAATTTATTTCAATGAATTGCTAAAAAAGATACGACTTTCAAACCTTCTAGAAAATAGCGTATTCCATTTTAAAAGATCAGCAACGCACCTGTGTCTCCTCTGGTGTTGCGGGTGTCCATGCGCGGCGCTGATCGCTTACCATCAGGTGATCCTACTCGTTTGCCATTTCACATTTTTTATACCATAAAAATAGGCAATTTATGACTCCACGGCTGGTGCGGTAGCTGGGCAACTGCCGTGCAACGTGTAGCGGATTCCCGTAAAGTAAAGGTACCGTTTTGCTACAATAAATGTAAATAAGTAAATAATAATTTTACAAAATATTTTTTTTGCCTTCAACGAAAAGCGTAATAAATGAGTACTCAGGGAACATTTAATAGCCCTTTGTATAAACAATATGAATATTAATTAATTGCGTACTAACTAACCTGTTTCAACAACTTTTTATTAACTGGCAACATTTTATCTTTTATTACAAGCCTCTTAAATTCAAATTTTTTAATTATTATTTTTTCTGGTAAGTAGGCCCGAAGCTTTTGAAATATTGCATGCGCTACGGCGTCTGCGTAGCAAGCGTAGTGGAGTCTGCTACGTCCATGACTACGTCGTAGCAATCCAGTACTTACGTTATACTTATAGTCGCTCCGATATTCAATGCTTTTATTCTCATTATAAATTAGAAATATAGATACTTAGGTAGTAATAACTTAAGGGGGAAGTGGAATCAGCCAATGACTGCTCTCGCCTTGGGTGAGGCAAGAGGGAGTCTCAGACTCTTACCTGTTGGGCAGAAAGCCCGCCAGGCCCGACCACCTCGCCTGGTCGGAGGATTCTCCTTTTTCGATCTTAGGGAACTATACCCTCTGTTCCCTAAACGTTTATATGCCTGCTTCAAACCGGAACCCTGCTAACTCGCAAGATTATCCACAGCGACCTCGTCGGTAGGTAGCTATCACCTGAAAATAGTAATCGCTTCAACTTAAAACGTTACGAAACCATAATACCTAAACCTATGTCGATTACATCAGAATGCCAAGCACGAATAACTATCGCATTCGTAACGTAATAGTATCGAGCGCGTTCGGCGCTCTGATTGGCCGGCTCAAGTGAACCAACCAATCAGAACGCTTAACTCGCTCGATACTGTTACGATACGAATGCGATAGTTATTCGTGCTTGGCCCTCAGTTCTCTGTCGGATCACCTCATTTCGAATTCGTAAGTTAGAGAAACAAACGTAGCTCTCAGATTGTGTGTCATACAATCACAAAACAAATATATCACGACTGCACGGTTTGGTACGGTGGCTGGGTAATCGGCTGCCGTGCAACGTGTCGCGGGTTCGATTCCCGCACGGAGCAATACTTT